CGCTACAAGAGAATCGTCCCTAATTTCCCAGATCGCCCGCGACCGGACATTTTCGGTAACTGAAGAGAACAATTATCATGTTGGGAGAAAGGGATTGGGATAATGAGGGGTATGAACAATAGCATCCGGATGCAATGAACGCGACCTTCGGCCGCCTACGGGGAAAGATCTCTTCAGTTCTCCCAGACCCATCCTTCCAACCCGGTAATTTGTTCCTGGGTAGCGGATTTCGGGCGCGCTGAATTTCTGTCGCAACTGGCGGGGGTCGAGTTTGAATTTGGGTAACGTGGAAACGGCGCGCTGGGGTCCAGGCGAGGGTTTCGAGGCCGTCGGCGGCTCCTTCCTTACCCGAGTTTGCGACTGGAGGCTGAGATCTGGTCGCGACTGGTTCGTGCAGAGTGTTCCCTATATAATTCCCGGCAGCGCACGATCTGAGTCCAACCATCGACTACACGCAAGGGCGAACCTGGGCAAGAGTGACCTTTGGTGCGCGGCTTACCGAGGGACGCGGGGTGATCAAACCCAGGCCCGCAAGCCGCTGCTACCGCTTCGCGTCAAGCGATCGGGGGACCCAATTGGGCCCGCACCAAGGGCCAATCCGGCGAGGCTCGGGGATCTACTGACCCGGGTCAATCCAGACCGGTCAGTCAGGCATCGCAGGATCCTGCAGGATCCTGCGCCCAAGCCCAGGTCAGTACACCCCTGGCGCTGCAGGATCCTGCAGGATCCGGCGCTCTGGCTGCCCCCCGCTTGCATTGACCCCCATCCTGGATCGCCACGGGGGTTGCTAATGGGATGCTAAAATGGGTTAAATCTGCTCTATCCGAAATTCTAAACGGGTGACAAGCGCCCTAGGTGGCTCAGGCTGATTAGATCACTCTGCTAAGTGGGCTCCGGCCTCTTTGCTCGGATCTGCACGCCCTGACGCCACTCAAAGCATTTGCCACCCATTTATAAGCACGGTTCGGCCAGATATAATCGACCTGAGCATCAATTTCTAGCCCCCGCAGGTCACTCTGGCGAAAATGCGCGCTTTCTTTGGAATCCCGGAACGGTGCGGTGACAAACCGTGCGGTGACCTCGAAATCCCCCAAGACCTCACCGCACGGTCCGTCACCGCACGGTCTTGGGACCCCGGAGGCTCCCGTCGCCCGAAACGTCCTCGGAGAACGGCCCGAGTCCCAAAACCGTGCGGTGACTCCCCACCGACTCACCGCACGGTGTGGTCACCGCACCGTTTGGGGACCCCCGAACTCTCACGTCTAGCCGAACACTCCGCGGGCTGCCCCGGAGCAGCCTCCGGGAGGCGGGCGGCCGTGCGCTCCCGCGCGGGCAGCGATGGCCGCGCACGCCCTGCACGCGCGCGTGCGCCGCAGCGCCACGCCCTCAAAGGCAAGGGGGGCTGGAGAGGAAGATCGGTATCGGTATCGGTAAGAGTCGGCTCGCTGCCGGTGACTGAGGACCCCAAACGGGTCACTGAGAAGATTGATGGGCGAAAGGGTCCCACCCATTGTTGGGGGGCAAATCGAAGAGGGAGCCAGGCCTGGGGTCCAAGCCGAGGGCAGCGCGTTGGCGCTGCCACCTGCGCTCCCTGGCGGCCTCCCTGGAGAGGAAGAGGCCGAGGAGGAGATCTGACGCCTACCGAGGCCAGTGCCCACTTCGTCAGACACAGCATGCCCTAGGACCCAAAGCCCAAGGACCGAGCTCACGGCCGCGAAGCTCAGGCCCCAGCCTGCCCACAGTGAACAGGATCCCACAACCTCGAGCATCACTTGCACGACCTAACTGCGGAACCCGAGGAGGCGGGCAGCAGCGCCAGCCACCGAGCCAGCGGCTGCCGAGGAGGAGGAGGAGGAGGAGAAGGAGGAGGAGGAGGAGGAGCAGGAGGAGGAGGAGGAGGGAGGAGGAGGGGGAATGATGAGGAGGAGGGGGAAGGAGGGAGGAGGAGGAGGAGGAGGAGGAGGAGGAGGAGGAGAGGAGGAGGAGGAGGAGGAGGAGGAGGAGGAGGAGGAGAGGAGGGAGGAGGAGGAGGAGGAGGAGGAGGAGGAGGAGGAGGAGGGAGGAGGAGGAGGAGGAGGAGGAGGAGGAGGAGGAGGGAGGAGGAGGAGGAGGAGGAGGAGGAGGAGGTGGGTCGGCGGCGAGCCCGGGGGGGTGGTGGAAGTGAGAGGGGGCGGGCCTTCTCGGAAGGCTCGGACGCCCCCCCCGGCCTTCCGAGAAGTGTCCGAGGCACTCCCCGAAGGCACAGGACGCTTTTCAGAGGGCCAGAGCGCTTTTGAGCAGCCCCGCAGCCTTATAATCGGCTACACGTAAGAGTGACCCTGGGTAAGAGTGACCTCTGGTGCGCAGCTTTTTGGGGGCCGCGAGGAGGCCAAATCCAGGCGCGCTAGCCGCTGCTACCGCTTCGCGGTCGGCCATCTGGGGGCCCATCTGTGCCCGCACCAAAGGTCACTCCGGCGAAAGGTCACTCTTACGTCTAGTCGATCTAAGAAGGCCGTCTCCTTCTCACCCTCCCCCCGGGCGCGCCGGGGAGAGGAGGACCCGCCGGCGTCTTTAGGACGAGGGCGATATCCTGCCAGGACTGGCTCAGGATACGCTTCCGGAGTTCCAGAGATCTAGCGGCCCCAGTTTCTGCAGCCCGTGTGGAACATCCTCATGCGAATATAGCCACGTCCTGAAGGACGAGGGCGACGTCCTGACAGGACTGGCCCAGGATACGCTTCAGGAGTTCCAGAGGATCTAGCGGCCCCAGTTTCTGCAGCCCGTGTGGAACATTAGGACATCTTGGAAACCCTGAGAATATAGCCACCTACCATTGTCATGACCTCTTTCTCCTCTGAGCCTTGGCTCCCCCCCATCTCCCACCCCCTCTTCATTTCTTCATTGGGAAGCGACTCCTGGGAGGTTTTCGCAAAAACGGTTAAGAACGGCGAAGTCCGATTCAGAGGCCATTACGCCGCATTGGCCCAAACACAACTCAGGATTAAGCTCGATTGCGCCGGATCGGGCCGGAATTAATGGATTGAGCGGGGTTGCGCCGGCTTCGACCAAATTTCGACCACGGATATCGCCGATGCTGCCTTCAACCTCCAAAAAATGCATCCTAAGGTCGGGAATATTTGCTTAGCGTGTCGCGGTGGCAACCCGGGCGACACGCTATGCCATGCGAGCGGATAGCGTATGCCATGCCATGCGAGCGGATATCGTGTCGCCCCTCTCCGCGGGGCGGGAGGCTCGGAAAAGCTCGGAGAACGCTGACAGTGGGGGGCCAGGAAGTGGATAGCGTGTCGCACCGAGGCGTCGTGGGCCAGAACCAGCGGAGCGACACGCCATCTAAACGCTCCCGACCGCAACCGCCCCTAAGACAAAGCCAGGACGAGGATCAAATCGGGTGAGGATGACTCAAGAATCTCTGATATCCAGCGGCTCTGGAAGATGTCTCGGGCGCCGCGGCCTGCTCACAGCGTTCCAGAACGCTCTGAGAGCGTTCCGGAACGCTCTGGACGGATTTGAATCCTCGTCCTGGCCCCTAATCCCGTCCGAACCCCTTTTCCTTTCCCCAGACCCCCGACGTCGTGATGTTTTCACAGCGTCGACCCCCCAGAGGCTTGGACCCCTTCCCGGGGACCAACTTCTCGTCCTGAATCGTTTTTGTTGACGGTCCTGAGGCCCCGCGAGGGTCCCTGGAGGCGGAACGTAGCGAAAATTAGATCAGGCATGTCCCCCTACAGGCGGACTTTGGGCGAGAAATAAAAATAGTAAAAACATACTCAAAAGTAGATAAGAAGATCCGCCGGCCCCCTTGTGGGGCCACCAGGCTGTAGGCGCGGGTTCGCAGTTTCCTGTACCAGTTGTAGCTTGTAGTTTCCAGTGTTACAGTTCTGCTTTTTGCTGGTTGCTGTAACTAGTTGACTTCTTGCTGGTTACTGTAACTAGTTGATTGACCGCGCGAGGGGGGGGGAGGCCCAAACAACACGTTTAGCGTCCCCTGGGCGCGTTGTCTGAAATGCTGGGGGGGCTCGGAATCGACACCCCTCACGCAGATCCGCGGGGTCAGGGTCCAAAAACACAGGGGATGTGCCACATTTCTGAAAGTCCGGGGTCAGGGTCCAAAAACACAAGGGATTTGCCACATTTCTTAAATTCGGTGCTACCCCTCACGCAGATCCGCGGGGTCAGGGTCCAAAAACACAGGGGATGTGCCACATTTCAGAAATTCGGTGCCACCCCTCACGCAGATCCGCGGGGTCAGGGTCCAAAAACACAGAGCATGTGCTACATGTCTCGAAATTCGGTGCCACCCCTCACGCAGATCCGCGGGGTCAGGGTCCAAAAACACAGGGGATGTGCCACATTTCTGAAATTCGGTGCCACCCCTCACGCAGATCCGCGGGGTCAGGGTCCAAAAACACAAGGTATTTGCCAGATTTCTGAAATTCGGTGCCACCCCTCACGCAGATCCGCGGGGTCAGGGTCCAAAAACACATGGGATTTGCCACATTTCTGAAATTCGGTGCCACCCCTCACGCACATCCATCGCAAGGCGTGGTAACCCAAACTGCGAGTACTCCCTCGGCCCTTTAATCCCAAGGTGTGGTAACCAAGCTCGTAAACCATACACGTCTTACCAATCGCCCTGTGTGGTAACCCCTCTTGTGATCAATTGGTTTTGCCGATTGCGAATCGGCCTCGCATGAAGTTCCGATACTGCTGCACGACAGCGCCAAAGCCTCATGACTTAGCTCTTCCATGGCCCATTCTCCGAGAGAGGGGGCCGGCGGCAGGGGGCGAAGCCCTTACGCATAATAGGCAAATCGTCCTCAGACTACCTCTCGACTATTCAAGAGTAGATAAGAAAATAAGAGGCAGATCGTCCTCAGACTATCTTTCGACTATTCTGGAGATGCCCCCTGCAGAGGGCCGTGCCCGACCGAAAGCTCAAAACATCCGTCGTCGTGACGCTCTGCGCCACGCGAACGGGGGCCTGTGCCCTCCCCTCTCTCCCTCCTGGCGCGCGCCTCCCCGGTGGCGAGCAGCGAGTTCATGTACTCGAGGAAGGACTCGCTCTTCACCTCGCCGAGGAGGAGGAGGAGGAGGAGGAGGAGGAGGAGGAGCAGGAGGAGGAGGGGGAAGGAGGAGGAGGGGGAGGAGGAGGAGGACGAGGAGGAGGAGGAGGAGGAGGGGGAGGGGGAAGGAGGAGAGGGGGGAAGGAGGAGGAGGAGGAGGAGAGGAGGAGGAGGAGGAGAGGTAGAGGAGGAGGAGGGGGGAAGGAGGAGGAGGAGGAGGAGGAGGAGGAGGAGGAGGAGGAGGAGGAGGAGGCGGAGGAGGGGGAAGGAGGAAGGAGGAGGAGGAGTGGGAAGGAGGAGGAGGAGGAGGAGGAGGAGGAGGAGGAGGAGGAGGAGGAGGAGGAGGAGGAGGAGGAGGGAGGAGGAGGAGGAGGAGGAGGAGGAGGAGGAGGAGGAGGAGGAGGAGGAGGGGAGGAGGAGAGGGGGGAAGGAGGAGGAGGAGGAGGAGGAGGAGGAGGAGGAGGAGGAGGAGGAGGACGGAGGAGGAGGAGGAGGGGGAAGGAGGAGGAGGAGTGGGAAGGAGGAGGAGGAGGAGGGGCCCCCCGGCCGCCGGAGCTCCCTCCGCTCGCCGCCGGGCAGCGGAGGCGCGCGCTGGCGCCCAGCCAGGGGGCTGCCGGCTTCCCAGCGCCGGGGTGCGGGGTCGGACCATGCGCCCTCCATGGACCTCCTGGCGTTCTGAAAAACAGGACGACGGGAGGTGTTTTGGGCGTGGCTTAATGGGGGGGTCACAAATGGGGGGGGGTCAGAAAAGGTCCCCTTTCGTGCCCCTTTCGGGCCCCTCCAGCGCCCCAGGGGGCTCGTTTGGGTACCGTTTGGGTACCTTTTCGAACCACCCTCGCCGCCCCCCCATTTATGATCCCCCCATTACGCAACGCCCAAAGTGTTTCCTGATTTTCGGCCTCCGGGGGCGCTTCCCGGGCCGCGGGACCGTCAGAGAACGACTCAGGACGAAAAGCCGGTCCCAGGGAAGGGGTCCAGACCACTGGGGGTCGACGTTGTGAAAAGATCACGACGTCGGGGGTCTGGGCTCGGGGCTTGGCAATGCCCAAGTCCCACTGGGAGGATGCCAAGACGCCGTTGCGATGGCCATTGTCCTTCCACCGCCATGCCTCTCCTCGCCGTCCATGCGCTCTTTCTATTCCTCCCTCTCCTCCTCCTCCTCCTCCTCCTCCTCCTCCTCTTCCTCCTCCTCATCCTCCTCCTCGTCCGATGAGAGGGGTGTGGTGCGCGCGTGTGTGCCAACTCACCCAAAGCGTCCCAAGCACACACATTCCGCACCCGGAAGAGGAATAATCAGGAGCGCCGAAATGCCTCCGCATCGGTGAAGAGGAACGTGACGCTCTCGCCCTTGACGCCGCCCTTCTGGTACAGCAAGCGCAGGTCCTCGAACAGCGCCAGGTCGTTGTAGAACTTGGTGACGGTGATCTGAAAACTGTGATGGCCTTCGGAAGCTGGCGGCGAGCGACGGGGGGAAGTGTGAGGAAGAAGGCCTTCTCAGAAGGCTCGGACGTCCCCCGGCCTTCTTTGGATTTGTCTTAGCCTTCCCCGAAGACGCAAAACACTTCGGAAAAGGCCGGAGCGCTTCTGAGAAGTCCCGCCGCCTTCTGAGAAGTGCCTTCTCCTTCCCACTTCCCCCCCTCGCGCGCCGCCGAATTTCGGGCCGCGGCAGGAAAAAGGGAGCGTGGCCGAGGCGCCAGATCGGCGTGCGCAAATGGTACGCATCGACGCTGGGTATGAGGGAGCAGCAAAGATGGGATCAACGCCTGGGGCCTGCCAACAAGGGCAGAGAATCCGTTCAAACCGAGTACATTTAGCAGCCTGGAACATATCCCTATCCCCAAGCTGGGCATCGCCTCATCACGATACCAATCTCAGGGATTCCCTTTGTTTTTGAGGGCGCATCCCTAAGATTGTCATCGCCTTTTGGCGTGTCAATCCTAGGGATAGGGATAAGTTCGAGGCTGGTGATATATCTTTGGCCCCTTTTTCGACATCCTGCTTCTCGCTGTCCCCTCTCTCACCCTCCCGATCCTCCAACTTCCACTCCTCCTCACAAAAGGCACCCTCTTCCGCATATGGTTTAGATTCCAATCTCGGCTGGTCTACCCCCTCCGTTCTCCATCCCTTTCCCTCCCTCTCGCCGTCTCTCCCTCCCCCCTTCCCTCCCTCCCTCCCTCCCTCCCTCCCTCCCTCCCTCCCGCATCCCTCCTCCTCCTCCCTACAGGGCTGGGGCGTCCTGAGATGAATGACGCCAGCCTGGCCAGCGACTGCTTGCCGCTGCCGCCCACACCCACGAGCATCGCGCTTCCGCGCTTCTGCTGGATCGTGCGGTTGATCTGCGGGAGGTCCGGGGGCCCGGCGAGTGGCCAGGTGGCAAGGGGGCGAGGGGCCCGGAGAGGAGGGTGGGATGGGCTGGGGAGGAGGTGGCATGATGATAGGAGCGGTGGAGTGGGGTGGGTGGGGTGGGGTGGGTGGGTGGGTGGGTGGGGGGCAAAGGAGGGAGCGAGGAGAAGGGAGGTAGGAGGAGGGAGGTCGTAGGAGGGATGAGGAGGGCACGACGGAGGAAGAAGGAGGCCACGAACGAGGACGAGGGGGAGAAGGAGGCCGACCGTCCTTCATGAGGTGCTTCATGGCGTCGTCGAAGAGGACCAACTGCATGGCCCTTGCGGGGTAGGCCTCGTTGAACCTCGCGGCCGCCCAATAATCCGTTAAACTGCGGGCTTCCCTTATTACGGCTCCCACGACGGCGTCGCCCCGCCTGCTCGAAGCTGGTGACGTCCGAGGACGTGCCTGCGGACCAAGGCCTTGGGGCTCGAGGAGAAAAGCTTTCGATGCCTTCGAGGGCGCTCTTGGCCCCCAGATTTCGAGTAGGGCATCGACCACATCATCGATGTGCCTCCCACACGTGCTTGGCATCGGATCTACAATACACGCATGCCATGCTTCGTTGATATACGAGCATGCTGTATACTTTGCGTAGACACTGGAAAATGTTGGGTCAACTGGGTGGTTGGGCCTCCCGCCCTCGCCGTGCAAGACGAGGCCCTGGCTGGGACAACATCGGATCGGGATCAGCCGGGGGCCCCCGAGATCCAGCCGTGCTCGCGAGCGCGGATCGTATCTGTGTCTGTCGGCGGTGGGCAGGCCTGCCTTTCGTAAACCTCCCCTCAGTGACAACGGCCTGGGACCGACACCGACGCGCCCGGACCTGCGAGAATGGCGGCCGCGACGCCCCCATCGCGAACCGAAAACGGCCAATTCCTTAATCGACGTGTCAGGGTAGGAGGTCTGTTCGGGGATGGACAGACCCCCCTTTAGTAAAACGTGGTTTAGTGAAAACGACCCGAGGCCCAAACCTGGCGGGCGCGAGCTTGGAAAAACGGCCACGGCGCCCTCTCGAGAACCGAAAACGGACAATTCACTAATCGACGTGTCACTGTTGGGGGTTCTGTCCACCCCCGATCTGTCCACCCCCGCATCTGCGCCCTCGCGGTCTGGACCTCCGGGGCGCCCTCCCGCCGACCCGCGGTCGCACGGACGGGCTCCGCGCGGGGCCTCCGCGAGACGCACGCGCCCCGCGGCCCCGCGGGGGGCGCGCCGCCCAGTGGGGCCCAGACCCGACAAGCCGCGGGTACGGGCATGCTCGTCGCCCACGAGGGAGCCCTGAGAGGCAGCGGCGCTGGAGGACCCGCCGTCGCTCGGGCGCCCACTTCCGCGTACGTTTTTCTCGATCTCGAGGGCGCACGCTGGGCGCGAAGGAACTGGGGGGCGAAAAATACCGGGGAGGGGGGGGGGGGGGGGGGGGAAAGGTGCCACGCTCGGGCCCGGGAGGCGCCCTTTGGGCCCCAGAGGGCCCCTTCAGTGGCCCTGACGGGCTCCTGTTCTGCAGCCCTCGCGGCCGCCCCATTCTTCGCCCCCCATGAATTCGTGCCCAGCCGGAACGCTCTCAGGGCGTTGCGGGCCGCTCTGCAGCGACTTCTCCGGTTCCTTCCCTTGGCATGTCTGGAGGGATCCGCCTTGACCTTCTGGCCGCGCTCCACCCCGGGAGAAGTTCCTCCCCACCCAGCGCCTGCTGGAAGCCTCCAAACTTCGGGGCTGTCCCTTGTCGGGAGCGGCCAAGAGGGGGGTGTCCAAGAGGGGGGGGCGCAAATCATGACCGGCGGCATATGCGCGGCCCAGCGGGGGGGGCCAGGGACGTAACGAAGTAAGAAGAGGCGCCATGAGATCTGGCGAAATATCGTGGCCCCCACCATGATGTCCCCCCCCCCCTTGTCATCACCCCCCTCTTTGCCGCCCCCGACCTTGGAGGCCTCCAGACTTCCGGGCTGTCCCCGGGAACGGACCCTTTTGTCGCCTCGGGGCCGGCTCGCCCCGATTCCCAGACCCCCGACGTCATGATTTTTTCATGACGCGGCCCCCAGAGGTCCAGACTCATTCCCCAGGACCGGCTTTTCATCCTGAGTCGTTTTTTGACGGTCCTGAGGGCCGGTAAGGGCCCCCAGAGGCCGAAAATAGCGAAAAACCTCTCGTCGTGATTTTTTCATGACTCGAGGGGGTCTGGGTTCTTGGCCTCGGAGGGGGGGGGGGCGGGGGGTGGACGGGGGAGGGCCCGTGCCGGGCCGCGGAGGGGGCGACCTGGGGCGGAGGGACCGACTGCTGGAGCCGGGGCCCACGCAGGATCGCACATGATCACATCCTCCTCCTCCTCCTCCTCCTCCTCCTCCTCCTCCTCCTCCTCCTCCTCCAGACAGACAATGTTTGATTCGCGGGTCGGGAGCGCACCTCTGCCGGTCGAAGCGAAGCGGGCCGCGCAAAGCTCGAACGAAGCAGAGATGGGGGAAGAAAAGGGGGGGCGCAGCCTAAGAACGAGGCCGGGAGGCCAGACTGACAAACGAACACAACCAATTAAACAATCAAACAAACAAACGAACGAATCAAAAGCACGACTTCGGAGGCCTGGGCCGCGGGACGCCGCTGGGCCCAACCCTGGACGGCCGACGTATGGTGATCCCTCGTGGCGTGGCCGCTTCCCTGTGCGAGAGCTCCTCGAGGCGCGGATGTCCAGCAGCTGCCAGCAGGTCTTCGCCGGAGGGATCCGAAAGGATTGGGCCCCATTGGGGGGGGGGCTGCCACGCCGGACCCATCCGCGGAGGAAGCGGGAGTGCACCAGTTGAAGCGGGATGGAGCTGGACGAAGCGGGATGGAGCCCGACGTCGGACCACGGCACAGTACCTCCCAGGAGCTGCGTCCCAACGGATGCGAGCGGCGCTTGGGGGGAAGGAGGAGGAGGAGGAGGAGGAGGAGGAGGAGGAGGAGGAGGAGGAGGAGGAGGAGGGGGAGGAGGAGGAGGGGGAGGAGGAGCAGGGGGGGGCGGCCCATGGGGTGGGAGGAAGGGTGCCCCTCTCGGGCCCCGGAGGGCCCCCCCTTTCTGCACCCGACGGGGCCCCTTCTGAGCAGCCCGCGGGGGCTCCTTTTCGGCAGCCCTCGCTGCCCCCCCCCCCCTCCCAGTCATCTATACACCCTGCGAAATGCTTTAGAAATCATGGGTTGAGAAATTGATAATCTCAGAATTTAAATAGAAACCCAGAATGCCCATTCAAATCTTAGGATTTACATTGAAACATTAAGAATAATCGAGACTCTGGCCGAAAACTTAGGTTTTCTTAAGCATCGCCTAAGGTGTAGAGGGCAGAACATCCACCCCGATCAGAAAGAAGCACCCCGACAAGCGAAGCCGTTTCGCAAACGCGCCCAAGGGAGGCATCGAACCCCCTCCCTGGCGCGCTCCGCGCGCCAGGGGCGGCGCCGGAGGCGCCGCCGAGGGGCCCCAGCGCGAATCCAAGGAATCCGCGCGGAGCGTCAAACGTTTATGCTTATGGCGCTTCCTCTTCTTCGAGCTTCGTAACGCCAGCTGTCATGGTTTGGGTGCTTTTCCCTCCTTTGTTTATCGACCCCCCCCATGGGGCGCCCTCCAAGGTGCTGCAGGCGACGGCCTCCTCCGGGGCGGCGTCTCGAAGGGCCCGCCCGCACGGCGCGCGTCGTCGTCGTCCGTCCTCGTCCTCGTCGTCGTCCGTCGTCGTCCGTCGTCGTCGTCGTCGTCGTCGTCGTCGTCGTCGTCGTCGTCGTCGTCGTCGTCGTCGTCGTCGTCGTCGTCGTCGTCGTCGTCGTCCGTCGTCGTTATCGTCATCGTCGTCGTCCTCGAACGGATCTCGTGGCGGGTGGGGCGGGGCAAGGCGGGCCCCTGCCTTCTCTCGGGCGGCAGAGGGGCTTCTCAGGGCCCGAGCTGCACAGTGCCGCTTCGTCTTCGTTGTGCTTTCGCAGGCAGGGACGTTCCACGACTCGCAAAATAACTACTCGCAAATGCCCTGGATCTGCCGCGCGGGATTCACGATCCTTTCTACATAAGAGGAGGGCATGCTTGCTCGTCGGACGTCTGCGTGTAGGCACTTCGCGAGTAGTGGAAAGCGCTCTATGGTCTGCAGTGGTTTCGCTTTCGTTTTGGCTCTCATCGTGCTGTCTCCGCTCCACCCGTGCTGCAGCACTGAAGCCGAACGAGAACGGCCCACGACATCGCCCAGAACGCCGTGCAACTCGGGCCCTTGGGCTCCTCGGCAGGGGCCGGCCCCATGCCTCCGCCCAGGTCTTGGCGGACGGGGCCTCTGGGCCTTGCCGGGGGGGGGGGGGGCGAGGAGGAGGGGCCCTGGTTACGGGGGGTGCCGAGGAGAAGGAAGGGGTGCCGCTGGATATCCACAGTGACGACCACAGAAACGCCAAACAAAAAAGACAGCCGAGCTAAGAACGCTGAGAGGGAGGGAGGAGGAGGAGGAGGAGGAGGAGGAGGAGGAGGAGGAGGAGGAGGAGGAGGAGTAGGAGGGAGGGAGGGGAGGAGGAGGAGAGAGAGGAGGAGTGGGAAGGAGGAGGAGGAGGAGGAGATGGAGGAGGGAGGGAGGAGCAGACGACGAGCGAAGGAGGAGGAGGAGGAGGGAGGCGGGGGAGGCCGCGCGAAGGCCAGAGCCAGTACAGCGTGTGCGCCGGGCGGTCCGGCCGGAAGGGGCAAAGATTCCTCCCTCTCCTCCTCCTCCTCCTCCTCCTCCTCCTCTCCCTCTTCCTCTTCCTCTTTCCCCCTTCCTCTCTCCTTCCCTTCCCTTCCCCCCCCCCCCTCCCCACCCTCCTTGCCTTCTTCCCGCCCCTCGTTCCCTCCTTCGCTCCCCACCCTCCCTCCTTCCCTCCCTCGTTCCCTCCTGCCCTCCTTCCCTCCCTCCTTCCCCGCCCCTTCCCTCCCTTTCCTCACCCCCTCCTTCCCTCATCCTTCCTCCCTCCCCCATCCAGACCCCGACGGCCGCGAGAACCTTTTCAGATAGTAATACGCCTTCTTCTTCACGTGGTCCCACGACAGCGCGGGCTCGTACACCTGCCAGGGGCCGCGGCGACAGCATCGCAGGTGCGGGGGCCAGCGCGCACGGAAAAATACAGTATGTATTGGGCATTGCGCACAACATACCGGAACAACGGCTGAGACTGGCGAGCTCGCGATTCTGCTGGGGGAATTGAGAAAGAGAAAGAGAGAGACGCCGTGTACGTCAGAGGTACATCGGCAACATTGTGAAACGATTGCCACTGCAAATGGTACGGCTGTGAAACACTGACACGCCAAGCAGAATCGACCGCGACAACGACGACGACGACGACAACGACGCCGACATTGGAGGGGGGGGGGGGCGAAGCAAGAAGAGGCGGGCAAAAAAAAGACGAAACGAGAGGACGGACGGAAGGCGGTAAGGGGAGGAGGTGAGGGTGTGAATCTCCCGTTTCGGGCCGCGCTGGGATTGGGAGTCTTCGATACCTTACAATATCCCTCTCACCTCGGAGTGACCGAATCTGGCCCAGAATGATGCGCATGCCAATGTAGGTTCGACAGACAGCTCAGCCCAATGGGTTCAAGAAGTGTACAGTACAAATCGCGTAAACGTTGCTCCAAGCTTCAAACTATGAATCTGCCGTGGGATGAAGAATCGGCTGCCAACTTCGGTTGAAATTCATGGTCAGTTCTTGCACGAGATGTAGCAGGTCATCCAACATGAAATGTCAAACCTCGGTTGCATGCACATTGATCCTGGACAGACGTTACACTATTTGTGTGACAAGAGTAAGCTTGCGCTGTTGTTTCGAACTGCACGCGCTGCCATGTCTTTACGTAGCGCTGACGACGGCTGATTCGCGATCCGTGACAACATATGCGCAAGATCGCAGGTTGCTTGGAAGAATATGCTGTCAACACGCGAGGCGGTACGGTATGTGCGAAACAATAGCACCGTCATCACCATGTTGCATCCGTGATGGTAGTGAGCAGGCTGGTAGAAAGTCCACCCACAATAAATGCATCGAACACGTTCACCATGACAACGAGGTCCATCTCATTCAGAACATGTCCGTGGCCACGGTGTCACCATCACAGCAACCATAACAACACGTAGCCCGCCGCAAGTTAAAAAAGCAGCCTCGCGAAACCACTGCCACTGCAAACCAATCACTGGCATCAGGAAACTTCTGGAACACCCTGGCGAATCAATCGCCATCACATATCGCCCAAGGAGGAAACTTTCTACATCAGCCCGTCACAAATCAAAATACACGCATCACTGCGTCTTCAAATCCTGACTGCCACCATCATTTTCCCACGATGGTTTGACATCTACCTGTCGCCCTCCATGATATGAGGGACACCTTGTCTGATCGAGAGGAACACATCACGCAACCTCGTCTCATCAGGGGGGGCATAGTGACCAAAACTGTACCCGCAAACCTGAACGAGTGTGACCCAAACCTGCGCTCAAATTTTGCCGAACGCGCCAGGGGTGTGATCGAAATTCGTAGTTCGAAACTCGAGCTCTTGTCAAGTTCGGTCAGGAGTTTGGTTACACTACGTTTTCGGTCATGATTTCCGGCACGCTTTCGGTCACCTCTTGTGCTCGGTCGCCCACCTCTTCGCCTCTTGGGAGGCGGGGCGCCAAGAAACACATATACATTACAACGACCCTGAGTGCCTGGACCGTGGGCACTCCTGGGAGATTTCAATATGTTGTCATGGAGCGCAAATAAAAGAGTTTACCGGGCCAGATTCGCGCAGAAGCTTCGTATGGAGCCAGCAGGGCAAACCTCAAGGAGGCGACATTTAGAGCGGCGAGGGAATGTGTGAGAGGGAGAGGGAGAGAAACAGCGAGCAGGAGATTGAGAGAGAGGGAGGGAGAGAGAGAGAGAGAGTGTGATGATATATATATATAGAGAGAGAGAGGAGAGAGAGAGAGAGCGAGGTGCTGGGTCGTGAGAATGTGGCGTGCACTAGCGAGAGGTTGGGAGATGGGCGCCACATCGTTCCTTGCCGCAACTGCCGGTGGGGGGTATGCACATACACACGCACACATACATACATACACACACACACACTTTTTTTGCGTCGGCGGCTAGGCAAAGTCACTGCGCTGGCGAACGGAGCGAAACGGGGCAGGCGTTACACACACGCACACACAAACACACGCACTCACACACACCACTCACACATCACACAGACACACACACACACACAAAAACACACACACACACACACGCGCATGTTGTTGTGTTGTTCTTGTAGCGGCGATGTCCCTTTTCCAGCCACTGCTCCCTGGGCTGCCACCCCGCGACCCCCTCCACGAGCAGGCTCACGTGAGGTCGGAGCCAGCAGACAGCCAGTCCACCGCGGCTGGCAGCGACGAGCACCGCCTGGCGGCCTGCTTGGCCTGCTCCTAGAGAAACCATAATGGTGTGCCAATTTCCCACCACCACTACACAGGCAGGACGGGGGATGTAAGGGCGGATGGGGAGGTCATCCTCCTCCTGCTCCTGCTCCTGCTCCTGCTCCTGCTCCTGCTCCTGCTCCTCCTCCTCCTCCTCCTCCTCCTCCTCCTCCTCCTCCTCCTCCTCCTCCTCCTCTTCGTCCCCCTACTCCTGCTCCCTTTACTACCTACAGCAAAGGAGGTGGAATCGCGGCCCAGCACAAAAAGTACCCGTACCGCTACTCCCTGGATCTATCCCCGGGTGCTTCTGACCAGGATTTCGAGGCGAATCCAGCGGCGGTCGCGACGAGGGCCTCTAAGGAGGCCGACAAGGGGGAAAATGGACGAAGGGTAACGGTATCGGTGCAGTTCGACCCATGCCAGAAGAACATCCTTCAAGAGCATGAGACCCTCCGCCGGCCAAAACACACAGAACATCCAAGCGCAACCTCCCCAAGATGCACGAGAACAACCGACAAGCACGAAGAACATTGGGCAACCCTCCCCGAAACGACCTCGATCTTTTAGAGCCTGTTTGCTTGACTCCGGCGGCAAGTTTACGTCATGGACGGGGGGGGGCTGAGCTGAACCTGAAGCAAGCCGCAAACGACCTGCACGTGCGGAAATCAAAGTTGTAAGGCACTTGCATGCTAGTGTTTGCTCGAAGAGGGGCGAATGGTGAGGGGGGAGCGAACGTCATGCAAGTAAATCTGCCCGAATCTTAAACAAATCAGGCTCTTACCTCGGTCCGAATGAACCTTTTCCTTTTCCCCCTCTGAGCTCCGGCGTGTAGCCCATGTCCTGCAACTCCCGCTCCTCGGGCGCGCGGCCTGCCAAAACCCTGGCAAACACACATCCCCTTTCCGTGGCGTCACCCTCGCCCGTCAAGCTCCCCTCCAGCGCATACATTAGAAGAATAAAAAAAAACGCTATAAACATAAACTTGTGGCGCTCCGTGCAGATTTCTTGGATGTGCGCTGGGCCCTCCTCCCTGGCGCGCGGAGCGCGCCATAGGCGGCGCCGGAGGCGCCGCCTACATGCAGTAGGTCGGAAGAAGTTTGCAAACAACATGAAGTAGGAGAGCGGATACAGTAGATGGGGTTCAGGCCTTCCCCGAGAATAACAAAACACAGCAAAAGCGTATCGACTCTTGAAGTAGGAGAGCGCTTGAAGTACATCGGGACTTGGGCATCCCAAAATGCCTTCATTCAACGATCGACGGGTACGTCTTGGGGGACGGCACGGAAAAAAGATGGTCTGCTGGCCATCGCTCGGACGTCCACTTCCCGTGCATTTTTCGACTTCGTGCGTATAATTTTCGCTACGATGAGCCAGGATGCTCCTCGATGGTCCTCGCCGAGATACATTGCACACGTCCGAGCGATGCCAAGCTAGGGGTCGGCTAGGCTGATGATGTTGATGATACTGATGATGATGACGATGATGATGCTGCTGCTGCTGATGATGATGCTTATGCTTATGCTGCTGATGACGATGGTGATGATGCGCCAGAGCAGGCGGTTTTCCTGGATATCCTCGCGTGCAGGAGGAGGAGGAGGAGGAGGAGGAGGAGGAGAAGGAAGAGGCGCCTCGACCAGCATGGAGGAAGGAGTGGCGAGCTAAGGGGTGGAGCCGCACCACATCAGCGCCGCAGAGCGACGGGGCCGCCCGAGATCCGGCGGCTCTGAAAGATTTTGGAGCGCGGAGACCTCGAAATTCCCCAAGACCTCACCGCACGGTCCGTCAACGCACGGTGTTGGGACCTCGGCTGCCCCCGTCGCCCGAGGCGTCCTCGGAGAACGGCCCGAGTCCCAGAACCGTTTGGTGACCCCGAGTCCCCACCGACTCACCACTCGGTGTGGTCACCACCCTGCTGGGGGGCCCCCGAAGGATGTATCCGGGGCCGCGGTCTTCTCAGAGGCCGCTTTCTTACGAGGATTTCGAAACGAATCCAGCGGTGGCGACGAGAGCCTCCCAGGAGGCCCCAAAAGAGGAAAACGGACGAAGGGTAGCGATAGGAGTACCTTTTCCTCCTCTGAGTCCGAAGATGGTCTGCTAAGAGTCGGTTATCGTTCAGGGCTTAACGACTTCTGTCGTCCCTCGACTCGCGCTGGAGCGGCCACGAGTTGCTCCAAATTGATCTGGAAATCTCTGGAAATCTCTGGGAATACCTGGATGTACGCAGATGTACCTCGATTTCTCTGCATCTGCCGTGCTTTATCGAGCTTGATCCCCACAAGTCGATTGTCGAAAGACGTCAAGCCCTTAGGGAAATTAGACCGCCCCTGTTGAGCAGGCACCGACCGTCCCGGCATTCCTATAGGCCTACCACGAAATTCTCAGAACACAAAAATGTGAGAAAAACAAATACAGTGTTCTTAGAACTGCAACCCGCTGCACTACAACACAGGGCAACCTCGGCCCAACAATGCTCTGAGACCATGCCGCGCGAACCGCGGACGTTTCTTAGACCATGTCGTGGAAGGCCTCTGCAGGCACGCCGAGATCGCTCGCCGCTGATCCATTGGGGAACTTTCGGGATGCGCTCCGACCGCGACCTCGGGGTGAACCCGGCCGTCGCGACGAGGGAACAGGCAACGGTGTCGGCGTCGTGCTACCACGAGG